TTTTTTATTTTGCTTTTTCTTTTGAATTTTTTTTTAATTTCTGATTTGAAACTGAATAATAGCTGACTAATAGCCACAGTGGTACAACCATAACATGTACATTCATCAATATGCTCAGCAACAATGATCACCCTAAAATATCCCAAACTTAAGACTTTTCTCCCCTTATGATCAATTTGACTGCTCTCATATTCCTAAGGTGTGGGAGAATTTTGTTTTTCTTAAGGGCTTCAAGGTTTTCAATGAATTCACTGTTTGGCTCAAAGTAGGGTGCAATGGATTCACTTTTTTGTTAGGTTGGCTTTTTGGTCAAGTGGCTCAAATTTACAAGAAAAATTGCCTTGATCATCTCTAAACAACATATGCTATGCAAACTCAAAAGAGACTCAAGCAAAATCAACCGCATGAAATCAAATGGTAACACTCTTACAGCAAGGGGCCCAAAACTCACATGGGCTAATAAAGGTGCTCAAAACTTTTCAAAAGTATCATGCCACAGTCATTAACCACAAAAGTAATTGTCACACTATCACTAATCATCCCTAGAGTGCAACCACAAACATATTTGATCTTATGTCTTAAAATACCTTTGTTCACTAAGGGATACATGCACACCTGATTTTTGATATTCCAGTTTCCAAAATGCATTAAAACCACACAGTCAGAAGCATTGAAATATGTACACATGCAAAGTTTACTACTAATTGACATCCATACCACTCACAGTACGCAACAAAAGGTAAAAGGTTAATAAAACAGTACACAACAAGATAATCAAAACAAAATAACAGAGCAAAATAACAAAATAAAATAACAAAACAGTTTTCCAAAGTGAAACAGCTTAGTCTTCCTCCTCATCATCTTCAGCCTCGTCCAACTCTTCTTCATCGTCATCCTCCTCACTTACTTCCTCTTCCTCATATTCCTCCTCAGACTCCTCATCATCATCAACTGCATCACCTCCCCCCTACTCTTGATCATGGCCTCCTGACCATGCTACAAAAGCAGAATAAGTGAATGTAATTAGGAAGACACAAAATCAGGCAAAACAATGAACAACCAAGCTGGTTTTTTTTTTGTTGTCTACATAGCCACGCTGAGCACCCAACCCACGCTGAGCGTGAGGGTTGCAGCAGTGTGCTCCCCTTTTGTCCCAAAAAGGCTTCACCCACCACCAAGAATACTAAAATAACTTGAATCTTGTCCTGGGCATTCATAAAAATAAGGTTTCCAAGGGTTTTAAGAAGACCCATGCACAAATATACCACCACAAATGTGCAAATATCATCAAGGAACATCAACCATGAAAATAAGCTCAAGAACACCATGGATACAGGGGTTTGCACGAAAAATGGGTAAGGGGATTAGATGAGTGGGGAAAAATAGGAATGGAGCCAAGAAACATACAATGGAACCTCTTGGATTCCTTGGCCTTGGCCATAGTCTATCACCTCATCTTTCAAAGAGTGAACCTGGCCCCGAGAGGACATCACCTCGCCTCTAGACAAGGTAATAAGCCCCCGCAGCTCGCTTACTTGGGAGGCATAGCTTTCGTTGGAGCGTAGGGCGATCTCTAATGACTTTTGGACCCTGGTGAGACCCCCCCTCGCCGCCTGAAGCTCGACTCCTTGCATCTTCGCTTCGCCAAGGGCGGTAGTCAGAACCCCGTTCTCCTCCCTCAGGACTCTATTCTCATCCTTCAGAGGCTGAACCAGGCTTTTCAACTTTGCCATGTCTTCCTGCTGTTTCGACCACTTGTGTTTCCAGTGATCCACAATGGTCTTGCCTCTCTGCAAGAAGATCTGGGCGGCATCAAAACTCCCCATTGGCCCGGCTGACTCAATCATCGCTTGATCAGCCGTGCTCAGCGACCCCTTTGGGAAAAACTTCTCCGGAGTCACCGCAGCGCTCCACAGAGAGTCGATCTCCTCCGACGCACTCAAATGCTCTAACCGCATTGGCACGCCCTCTTGCGCATAGCGGTACGCAAGATACGGACGCTTCAGCTTCGGCACTGGAGCAGGTACAGGGATCCCGGAGCTTGACCCCTCCCTACGGGCCTCGGCGGAAGTAGATGCAGGTACCCCCTGCTCGACCACGGAAGGATTCCCTTCTGGCGCCCCTGAGACTGGAGGATCCGAAATCCCGGCGACGTTCCCCGCCTGCAAGAAACAACGATACTCTTCTAAGACAAAAAGTAAACAGAGGGGTAAAACGTTAATGCCACAGAAGGGACAACCGCTTACCTCACCAACCGTGGTAGCAGGTATAGTAGCCCGGATCACCTCCTCGGCAACCGGGGTAGCCCACCCGGCAGCAAGGACCACTTCCTCGGCAGCATCCCCTGCCTATAGAAAACAACCTCAAGTCAAAGCGTAAAAAAACAACATAAAAGGTAGAAGATAGAAACAAGACTAAGAAAGGAAAAGTACTCACCATGGCGGCCTGGACAACTTGCTCAGCAGCTTGGGCCAACACCTCGCCGGGATGAGCGAAAGGCTCAACAGTCGATGCCACCTCTTCGGCGGCCACACAAACGGCCCCCTCCGATAGCGGACTTCCAGTAAGGTCCACCGCGCCAGCTTCAGCAGCCTTGGAGGCAACCTCCCCTATTTCACGAGGGTAGAGGTCCCCCTGACCTCTCTCCCGCCCCTCTTTCTTTTCCGGTCGACTTTCAGGGGAGAAACCTCCTCCTCTAGAGGCTCGGAGACCTCGAGCTCGGTCACGTTGAAGCGATGCTTCAGTTCAAGCCACAAGTCCTTCCCTATAATGCCTGCAGGCAGAAAATAGAGTACATCAGCAAAGAAAAATAACACAAACCTCAACGAGCTACCAAAATACAAGATACTCACCCTCCAGGCCCCTCTCCCTATGCGCCGAGTTCGCAAGCAACATGATCGACTTGCAATCCAACGGGCGAGGAAGTGCCGAAAGATTCATAATGACGGCAGCCTCTGAAGCCGTCAATTGCGAAGGGTCCACCCCGTGAAACCTAGACGGTTTGGGGCACCAGTAGAAAGGGAACTTCGGCAGTCCACCGAAGTAGAAGCCCCCATCCTCTAAAGGGTCAACGTCCACAAGGGCAACCCGAAAGAACTCGGGTTTGTAGTTTTTGTAAGACTGGGAGTAAAGAGTGAATAAACCCCCTTCTTTACTCCCATTCAAGGAAAGAACGCTATAAGGTGGAACACCCAGCTTCAACTGGTAGAAGTGAAGGAAAACGCAAAGGGACAACTCTATCCCTAGGACCGCACACAGGACTTGAAACGCCCTTAAAAACCCCCAGCTATTGGGGTGCAGCTGGCAAGGAGCCACGTTGATGTAGTTTAAAAACTCACACATAAACTGAGTGAAAGGAAGACAGACGCCCAGGTCCCTGAAGAGACACTAGTAGACATAGAAATAAGGAGGGTCGGTAGACCTCCCCATGTACACACCCTCACCGGCCGGACAGGGCTCGAGTCGGGTCATCCGGGAAATGGAAGGGTCGCAAATTCGGTGCGTCTCCCAAACCGCATTGACCTCTAGAAGCGATTTGAACACACTTTGGACCCCCCCATCGCGCGCTTAACCCAGTCGTAGCCAGGAACGCCTGGCTCCAGGTCCTTGGGCGGTGGCAGGTCTTTCCTCTCGGCGGCGGCTCTCCCAGTAGCCACCACCTTGCCCCGCGGCTTGCCCCTAGCAGGCGCAGAAGAACCGGCTCCACGTCCACCAGCCATCAAGAGAAACAAGAAGACTCGCAGAGGAGATGTGAAGAAAGGGAAAGAAAATCGTAGAAAGGAGGTACCCGGTACTCCTCCCCGGAAAACAACCTTAACAAACGACCGGATTATCGAAAACGGCGGCAGAAGCTGTGAAAACAGTGACAGAGACTGGACGGAAGCGAAGGTGCACAAAGCAGCTTGCGCAAGAAGCCAAGGGAGAAAGAAAACGAAAAGATTAAAGTGAAAGGTGAAGAGGCGCGAGTGACCGAAAAGAAGGTTTTCGCCCAAATTCAAAACGGCCACGCCACCTGTCAGCCAAGGGGCACGTCTGACGACACATTAATGGAGAACCATCATTACATAACCGTCACTTTCATCAACGCGCCACTTGCACGTCTTCGGAAGTGACCAATTATGACATGTGGCATCTCAGCAAGCAGGCGTACGCGAAAGGTCGCACCCACTTGACGAGCTCGGTCTTACCTCCTCGACCTACGGTCTTCGGAGCTCGGGGGGCTAGTGTACTATTCGTACTCCGAGGCCGAGCTCCGAGCTCGGTACCACAGCACGAGCTGACCTCGGCCACGCGCTACATGGCATCCGCTCGGCACTTAAATAGATCGTAACCGATCTCAGGGAATCTCGGTCTAGGCGAGATTCTCTACCTAATCAGATCACAACTAATCTTAGACCTAAGACCCAACGCAACCCTAATATACATCAAGGTACATGCATTATATATACGAGATTCATACTCATACAAACACTAACTTTAGCATCAGAGTCTCTTTTGCAGGTACCACCCCCATCTTGGAGCATCAAGCATACCAGCGAAGGAGGCTCACCAATCTTACTCGAAGGATCATCTCTACAGCAAATTTCCGGTAAAAACAAGACTTAAAACATATTAAGAGTCATTGAGAATCATTTTAAAGTTATTAAAATTAATTTTGTCTCTTCTCACTTTATTTAAGGTAATTTTGATACTAAAAAAAAAGAATTTGAAAAGAGAGGATAAAGAAGTTAGTGTTAGTTTTTACAAAAGAATAACCCCTTTTTCTCTCTCTCTCTTGGATTCTTTTTTACACATTAAAACTTAGTTTTCAAGTTAATAATTGTGCAAACAAAAAAAATGTAAAGAACTAATTAAAAGGATTTTAACACTATCATACAGACTAAATAAAGAAAATAAGAAAATAGAAAACTACTTACTAAAAAAAATATAAATTACATTATGAATTCAAATATGTTTTTTTTTAATTTTTTTAAAAATTATAAAATATAATAATAATGAAAAATATGTTATTTAAAATATAAGATTCTCAAAGATTAATTTTCTTGTATAATAAATCCTATGAAATTACATAAGAGCATGATCATAATTTCGTAAAAGCGATCTAGTTTGCAATTGCAACGAATCTTCGAGAACATCATCAGAACCGATACCATATTTATACATAGCTCAAGGAAGAACCAACCAAATCAATTATTTGATATTGTACAAAATTAACATGATCATAATGATCGACATTTGTAGGAACACCCCATGGCCCCTTCCTCCCCCAAAAGCTCCCAAACGCAAACTCTCCCTTCTCATAAAACTCCTCCATCACCTTTTCAACTTCATCCATGCAACTGTGTCCTGCACCATCTGTTAGTGCCACCTCTGCTTGAATTCCAAGAGATTGTTCACGAATTCTCACAAGAACATCTTCACAAGAACCCATTTCCCTATGCGTATTTCCCTTCCTTTGACGAAGCTTTTTCTTAGCATAATCTCTTGTTTTCTTGACCAACTTGCAAGGAAGCTTTAGCAACACAAACACCAGAATTTGCAGCATCAAGCACTGGCAGCAGCATGATATGACCACACAATCAGCACCAAGCATGTTCCAATCTTCCATGGTTGTGAAAGAGATCGAAGAAGGAGGAGGAGGTTATGGTGTAGAAGGACAACATTAAAAGAAGACATGCTTAATGTTTTAAAGAATAGGTTCCTTCTCCCCTGTTTGGGTCTTAGTGAGGGCCAAGCAAGAACATAATTTGAAGAGGAAAAGAAAAGCTAATATATATGGGTGAATAGTGATGGATACTCGTTTTCCAATTATTTGGTTGAAGCCTCAACGCAAGCCTTAGCTTCTTAATAAGGGTTATCACGTTGATACAATATTATAATTCAAGATTTGAAATCACATCAAGATATGACGTGTCAATTAATTCATGGATTGCATGATACTCGACATTGCCGATATTTATTTGCAAGGTCGTCGAGAACTATTCGATAATTCGAGTCTATTATGGTTTAATTAATATTTATATGTTATATAATTAAATATTACTTTTTATAAATGAAAAATTCAAGTTAAAATATTTTTTTAATTCTTATATTTTGATCTATTAACATTTTAGTTTCTATAATTTAAATTAGACTATATACTTATCGATTTCAATACTTTTATTCCTAATATTTTAATATAATTTTTTTAGTTTTATTTACAATTTTGTAAATTTTTTTAATCTTTATCGTTAATTTTTAGTTTATATACTTAATTTAATATTAAAGAATAAGAGTAAAAACTAAAAGAATTTATTTTAAATTATAAAAACTAAAAGCTAAAATAAATAAAATTAAAAAAATATTTTAATCACAAGCAAATATATATTAACCAAGATCATGGATGTAACTTAATAATCTCTTGCGCCGCTTCCCTTTTCATGGAAGATTGCTTTCTCTCTCTTTAATTCTTCACTAAAATATGTTTGGTGTAGCGTGGGAGTGAAGACCGAAGACTTTACCTTCTATTACACACAATAGAGGCAAAACATTAGTTTTTGAAAAGAGAACCGGAAGATTCTTCCCGTGGTCACGAGTACCATACTTCTCATTTTTGTCGCTTAGTATAAACTACTGAAAGAAAAAAAAATGACACAAACATCTTTAAATTATTTGTATAAGATAAGACTTAAGACACCCCTCTTAGAAGGCGGAGAACCTTGAATGCCAGCTTATAGGGTGAAGTAGTTTTGATCGTGTCTCACGCATTAGAAAGTAACTGTATTTGTACAGGAAATATCATATCGACCACGTGGAATGACATGTGATGCCCTTTCGACCTCTGAGACAGTCGAAACAAGGGTGATTCTCACAAGAAGTCTTGGCCATGATGGCCACCGAGACTGCCAAATCACGGGCTCCTACATCAGTCGGTTATTAAGGATCTCGGACACGTCGGTGGTCGAGATCATAAAGTCCATACTCGAAGTATCGGAAGCTCAAGCATGTTAGTAGCCTAACTAGCCATCTCGACATCTTCTCGGCTCGGTCGAAGGCCAAAATCTAGAAGTATAACCTCGGTTCCGATCCTCTCGGCTCGGCCAAGTACTGCCGATACAAGTAATCGCAACCATTAGAGCGACAATCATGATTAATAAGGGCAAGCACATGATTAACGTATAATCAGCTATTTAGCATCGTATTACCTAATTTGGTAAGTGTCAAAGGAGGCCCACCATGCTCAAGACCCATTATAACTAGTAAAAATAGGTCGCGTTAAACGAGATATGTCACTGTTCATTTATTATCATCGAGATTTGTGTTTGTCCTGACTTGAGCGTCGGAGTTCTTTTTGCAAGTACCTCCCCCCTCTGAAGCATCCACCCGAAACTCCCGTTCGGCTCTTAGATTATTAGAAGATTACGAATGTGCCCTTAGACAGGTACAATATTCATAATAGTCAATTTTTGATTGGGTAAAATATTTTATTTTATATATTCTTTTTAATTTTATAATAAAGTTATTTTAAATTTAATTTAAAATATTCTTTTAATTTCAACTGTAATGGAAGAAAAATGGTGAAATATGTGATTCCATTTCTCCGACAAGGTTACAATTGAGGACTCAGATACTCGAAGGCGTTCCTATCAAAGTTTTCAAGTTTTTCCGGTTCACCATGCATGTTAGCTTCTTCTGTTAGAAATTTTATTTCTAATAATTATTCTGGGCTACATATATTATTTGTAGTATTTATATTAGTTATTTACATTTAGTTGGGTTAAAAAAAAGTGATATAATGCTAGTGAGCCTTTAGACTGCCAACAAGAAAAAAATGATATGAGCCCAAATAAGTGGAAACCAGATTTGGCCCGTTAGGGATTAATGGGAACCCTAATAGGTTTAAAATCGTAAAGATGGTCATGGTCCCCAATATGCAAAATCAGAAACATACATATCTCTGTCTCCCCATCAGAAGAGTAACATCAAGTCCCATCAAGGAATTCAGTGATTTGGCTGAGGAAGATCATTGAAAAAAAAGACTATTACGATAAAAAATTTTGATCAACGTCAATGGATACAGGTACGTGTTATTAACATTAACTCTGTAATCTGAGACAACGGTTCTTAATTTTTGAGTAATGGAAAATTTCTATTTGGCTTAAGAAAATTTTATCAAACAAGTGGTATCAGAGCTGCCGTTGTTATTAGGTTATGGGGTTCTAAAGTGTATTGTTACAATTTTTTTTCTTTCTTCATTGACAATACGTGTATTTGAATGCGTCGGTCATTTTTTTTTGTTGCTTCAATTTGGTTTAATTGATTATACGGATAAAGAGATCGATTAAAAAATTAAATTTTCTTAAAGAGAATTATTTTTTGTATTGTGAAATTGTATAATTTTTTGTGAATGTTATATATTTATATATGTAACAATTTTGCAATGATCCAGAAGACATTGTCAAATGAAGGAATTTTTAAGTTTTTTAATTTTATCACCAGAAGTGAGATAATTGTGCAACAATGCAATAAAGGAATATTTTCTCACCAGAAGTGAGTTAATTGTGCAACAATGCAATAAAGGAATATTTTCTCACTAGAAGTGAGTTAATTGTGCAACAATGAAATAAAAGAATATTTTTCTCACCGGAAGTGGGAAAATAATATGAAAAGTGAAAAGGAAAAGGGTTGATAAAGACACAAATATAATATAAATATTATGTTTGATCCTTTGAGTACCACCAGAAGTGGGATTTTTTTTTTGTCAAAATCATTGTTGTAATATTAAATGATATTTGGGAAAATTATATGATTAATATATTAAATTTCACATTATCGAAATTTTAATGGCATTCGCGTAAGAATTATTTTCTTGAAATTTGATTGATATTATGTTCAAATTTAAATTGATATTTTTTTATATATATCAAATTTGAGTGCGAATGTTGGCAGATTATAGACCCTCTTTATTAATTAATTTGTCTGGTAATTTTTAATTAAATAAATTGATGTAATATATTGCCAAAGCAATCCCTATTATAGAAATTAATTTGATTAAAAATTACAATAGATGTTAGTATGAGATTATTTATGCGATTTGTGCTCATCCCAAAGGAAGACACAATTTGGCCAAATAATAACATGCCTGTGATGATAAATATGTGACAATTATAAAGTTACAATCATGTGAATAATAGTCGGTCCAAAGAAAGGCTATTATTTGACAGAATTAATTGTCAATATTTGATCGTTGCATTGAGAGTACCACTAACAAGTTAATTTGTATGTCCAAAGACAAAGAATTAATGTTGTGCTCGGTATCTTGTAATGGGTCTATTATGTAAATAATCTGCATGTCTTATTTATTTTATTTTACTTTATGAGCATGTAATTAAATTAATTTTTTTTTCTATGTTCTATTACAGTTGCTGTTGCTAGTGCTGTTAACTTATCTGCTCAAATTAATTGTATACCTATGCTTAATGGGACAAACTTTAAGGCCTGGAAGGAAGCAATTGAGATAATTCTTGGCTGCATGGATCTTGATCTTGCATTTCGGGCTGAGAAACCCACTCCAAATCCGGAAAACCCGGATGAGGATAAGGTTGAAAAGTGGGAACGCTCAAATCAAATATATGTGTTTGATGATCATGAAGCGATCTATTCCAGAAGTTTTTCAGGGCTCTATTTCTGAGAGCCACAATGCTAAAGGTTTCCTTGATGCCATTGAGCAGTATTTCACCAGTAATGAGAAAGTTGATGCAAGTAGTTTGCTTGCTAAACTTATCTCTATGAGATACAAAGGTAAAGGAAACATAAGGGAGTACATTATGGAAATGTCTAATCTCGCGGCAAAACTAAAAGCACTAGAGTTAGAGCTGTCTGATGACTTGCTCGTGCATCTAGTTTTGATTTCTCTTCCTACACACTTTGGACAATTCAATGTGAGTTATAATACTCTGAAAGATAAATGGACCTTGAATGAATTGATTTCTCACTGTGTGCAAGAGAAGGAAAGGCAGCAAAGAGAAAAGACTGAAAGTGCTCATTTAACGTCAAACTCTCAGAATATGAAGAGATCGAACGAATAATAAGGATGTTGTAGAAAGGACTTCTCAGCAAAAGAAAGTCAAAAAGGATGAGAACACACCTACTTGCTTCTTCTGCAAGAAGCCTGGGCACATGAAGAAAGAGTGTCCCAAGTACGCCTCTTGGCGTGTAAAGAAAGGTAATTTTCTCTCTTTTATTTGTTCTGAAGTTAATTTAGCTTTTGTACCACATGATACTTGGTGGGTAGATTCTGGTGCTACTACTCACATTAGTGTATCCATGCAGGGTTGCCTTTGGAGCCGACCGCCAAGTGATAATGAAAGATTTATATATGTGGGTGATGGCAACAAGGTCACAGTGGAGGCTATTGGAACATTTAGATTACAGTTAAAAACTGGATTTCATTTGGATTTATTTGAGACTTTTGTTGTACCGTCTTTTAGGCGGAATTTAATTTCTATTTCTAGTTTGGACAAATTTGGTTTTTCTTGTTCATTTGGAAATAATAAATTTAGCCTCTATCAAAATTCAAATGTTGTTGGTTCTGGTTCTTTAATTGATAATTTATACTTACTAGATGTAGTTAGTTCCAATAAAGAAAATTTTAACATTGATTCTCGTGGTACGAAGCGTAAAATAAATGAGAACTCAGCCACCTTATGGCATAAGCGTTTAGGCCATATCTCTAAACAGAGAATTCAAAGGCTTGTGTCGGATGAGATTCTTGAACCCTTTAACTTGTCAGACTTTGAGGTTTGCGTTGAATGTATTAAGGGTAAACAAACAAATTCTAGAAAATTAGGTGCCGAAAGGGCTAAGGACGTTTTGGAATTAATTCACACAGATATTTGTGGACCATTCCCTACGGCATCTTGGAATGGGCAACAATATTTCATTACGTTCATAGATGATTATTCAAGGTACGACTACCTATTTTTAATTCATGAGAAGTCTCAATCCCTAGATGTTTTCAAATCTTTTAAAGCTGAAGTTGAGCTTCAACTTGGAAAGAAAATTAAGGCCGTCAAATCTGATCGTGGTGGTGAATATTACGGTAGATATGATGGATCAGGTGAACAACGTCCAGGGCCTTTTGCGCTTTTCCTAAGGGAATGTGGCATCGTTCCTCAGTATACTATGCCTGGGAAACCAAGCATGAACGGTGTTGCAGAACGTAGAAACAGGACTCTTAAGGATATGGTGAGAAGTATGATTAGTCATTCTTCCTTACCAGAGTCATTGTGGGGAGAAGCGCTTAAGACTGCAGTCTACATCCTAAATAGGGTACCAAGTAAAGCAGTTAACAAAACTCCTTATGAGCTATGGACGGGTAAAAGGCCAAGTCTAAAACATTTACACATTTGGGGTTGTCCAGCTGAAGCGCATCCTTATAGGCCGCATGAAAGCAAGCTGGAGTCAAGGACTGTTAGCTGTTATTTTGTTGGTTATCCTGAACGCTCTCGGGGCTATAAATTTTACAATCCCACTACTAGATCATTCTTTGAAACAGGGAATGCGAGATTCCTTGGGGATGTTGAGTTTGGGAAGGAAGAGAACATAAGAAATGTTGTCTTTGAGGAAGAACCTGTCATTGACAGTGATCAAGTCCCCGTGCCTATTACTATTTCAGTACCTACCCTAGTAATAGGTGACAATCATGGAGTTATTCCTGACATTGTCCCTACACAAGACAATATTGAGGTTCTCCCTCAAATACCTATAGAGCAAGCTCAACAATCTCAAGAAGTGCCATTAAGGAGATCCACTAGAGAAAGGAAAAGTGCAATTCCAGATGATTACATTGTGTTTCTTCAAGAACATGAGGATGGCATTGGTTTAACAGAGGATGATCCAATCAAATTCTGTCAAGCTATGCAAAGTTCTAGCTCTCAAAAGTGGATTGATGCCATGAAGGATGAGATGAAATCTATGCAAGACAACAATGTTTGGGATCTTGTTGAATTACCTGAAGGTGTGAGACCTATTGGTTGTAAATGGATATTTAAAACCAAGAGGGATTCACAAGGTAATATCGAGAGATATAAGACTCGTTTAGTTGCTAAAGGTTTCACTCAAAAGGAAGACATTGATTACAAAGAAACCTTTTCTTCAGTTTCTTCAAAGGATTCTTTTAGAATAATAATGACACTTGTAGCTCATTATGATTTAGAGCTCTATCAGATGGATGTTAAATATTCTCCCTCTATGACATTCTCTTTTACATTTTCTCCTTTTTTTTATTTTTTTTATTTTTTTTCATTATTTTCTCCACTTCCCTCTCTCACTTTTGCCTCGTTTTCCTGTTGCTCTGGTTGCCTCCCATAAAGCGCTCGTTTTATGTCACTAGTTTGACAAGCCAAGGCTTCAAGGGTTGTCCAATGCAACGGTGGAATAAGCTCGCTTAATTTCACCGCCTAGGTAGAGTTTGAGTCTTTGGCCATTTACCACCTAGCTCTCTTTGAAGGCAAGATCCTCCACTTGTATTGCTCCATGAGGCTTAACTTGCTTAACTCTGAATGGCCCTGACCAATTTGACTTCAGCTTCCCTGGAAAGAGTCTCAACCAGGAGTTGTAAAGGAGCACAAGTTGTCCTGGTTGAAACTCTCGTTTTAAGATCTTTTGTTCATGATACAATTTCACCCTTTCCTTGTAATGCTTAACTGACTCATAAACATTAAGCCACAATTTAGCTTTCCCAAGCAGTGAGAATGGAAGCGGCTTCAAGCGGATTACATCATCTGGAACTAATTTTTTTAGCTTCTTTGTAGCCTCACACACTACCTCATCCAGCACATCCATTCGGAAACAAGCACCCTTATCATTCGGATGGGTTGTGGCTTCAAATACATTGAAAGTGATCACCTCATCTTGGACCCTCAATTTTAATTCACCATCCCTAACATCAATGATTGCTCGTGTAGTCTTCATAAATGGCCTCCCCAAGATAATAGGAACAGTAGAGTCCTCTTCCATGTCCAAAATCACAAAATCAACTGGAAATGTGAATTTGTCAACTTTGACTAGCATGTTTTCAATGACACCATAAGGATACTTGATGGACCGGTCTACTAGCTACAAAGTTATGCGGGTTAGTTTTACTACCACCTGTCCAACTCTATCCAACATAGACAAGGGCATGAGGTTAATGCTTGCACCCAAGTCTAGCAGTGCTCTTCCAACAGATAGGTCCCCAATAGTGATTGGAATGTAAAGCTTCCAGGGTCCTTGAACTTGGGAGGTAAGTTCTTTTGAATTATGGCACTACACCCCGCTTCCAACTCAATAATCTTTTGCTCAATAAACTTTTTCTTCTTGGTCAAGAGGTCTTTCATGAATTTCGCATAAGTGGTATCTGCTCCAATGCCTCTGAGAATAGAATATTGATCTGAAGCTTCTTAAAAAGCTCCATGAAGCGTGCAAATTGCTTCTCTTTATCCTTTTTGCTTGGGGTTGGGGGATATGGCATATCCTTGGTACTAGACACCTTGGATTTCATCTTCAATTCTCTTGCTAGTTGGTTTTTTGATTTTTTAACAACAACTTCCTCAACCAACTTTTCTCCCTCTATGACATTCTCTTTTACATTTTCTCCTTTTTTTTATTTTTTTTATTTTTTTTCATTATTTTCTCCACTTCCCTCTCTCACTTTTGCCTCGTTTTCCTGTTGCTCTTCCTCGTCCTCCAAAACACCCACTCTCTTACCACCTCTTGTTGTAATTGCACTACAATTCTCCTTTGGATTAGTATGAGTATTGGCTGAAAAATTTCCACCAGAATTTTCAGCTAATTGTAGTATTTATATTAGTTATTTACATTTAGTTGGGCTAAAAAAAAGTGATCTAATGTTAGTGAGCCTTTAGACTGCCAGCAAGAAAAAACTGATATGAGCTCAAATAAGTGGAAACCAGATTTGGCCCATTAGGGATTAATGGGAACTCTAATAGGTTTAAAATCATAAAGATGGTCATGGTCTCTAATATGCCAAATCAGAAACATACGTATCTCTGTCTTCCCATCAGAATAGTAACATCAAGTCCCATCAAGGAATTCAGTAAATTGGCTGAGGAAGATCATTGCACCAAAAGACTATTCCGCTACAACCTTTTGATCAATGTCAATGGATACAGATACGTGTTATTAACATTAACTCTGTAGTCTGAGACAATAATTCTTAATTTTTAATTAATGGAAAATTTCTATTTGGCTTAAGAAATTTTTATCCCAACATCTTCTAGCTCCTCGACGCTGACTCTGATACAGTGGCAACTTGTATGGGCCAAGTGCAATGAAGTTACACCTCTTCCTTAAGTTCCGACACAGTTTTTAATGTTGATCTGAAAGTCAATCCTTATAGCTACCAAACGATCTGGCTCAACCAAACCTTCATTTTCATCTCACTGATATTTTTTAACAGTATTTTGTCTTAAATTTTCAATTGGTTTACATGCAACATCAGAGAAGAGTAGTGCGGTACGTTGGGAAGATGATTTAAAAAAAAAAAAAAAAAGCATAAAAAATTTACTGGTGGCACCAATTACCCTTCTTTAATCACGATCTTTAAGTATTTTAAAATTATATCTAATAGTTAAAAGTGGTAATTCATTTATGTATATTTATTAATACTTTATGTTAAAAAATTTTGAGAACCTTATTTAATTATAACCGTAAGGTAATCATCCTTGATAAGACCGGATATATAGTACTAACAGATACCTTAATTCTCTATCTAAAATATCTTTTTTTCCAGAAATTATTTCGTGTGTTTGAATTTAAGTCGAAAAAATTATAATTAATTGAAGTTAATTTTATAAATCTAAATTTAGTTAAAAATAAATTTAATATGTTTTGATTTATATTTGAATACCTTTATTTCAAATGTACTTTTGTCAAAATGATATTTGAATAATATTAATGAAAAAAAACTTTCATATGTATAATTACTAAAATGGATATGTATTTTATAGTGGTATTAATATTGTTTATTATTTTTATTTTTTTAATATATTTAATTTGATGAGAAAAGTTGATTGTTATTATTTTATATTTTGATATTAATATTATTAGTCAAATTTTTTTTAATAATTTTTGTTATTAAAATATCAAATGAAAATAAATATAAGACTGAATTAAGTACAATAGAATACATAAAGAAAAATACAACAATTAATTGTATATATTCCGAACTAAAATATAAGATAGGAAAACATAAGTGTTATAATAAATATAAGTTACATATTACTTATAATTTGATCTCTAATTAAGTTTTGAATAAGGTTTATATGTGATAAAAAGGTCATAGTTAAAGGTAATGATTTATCTTCACTAATATGATCGTTATTCTCGTGCTCATCTATATTACCATCTTTATAATGGTTAAATTCATAATCAGTTTGAGATTTCTTCGTAATAAAGTAATGTATAGTCGTTGTTGGCCAATCTTAAATTTTTTAAAGACCTAGACAAACCAAAAGCATGGATGATATCCTCAATTATTTAAGTATTATCTTTGTATTTTTTATTGCAAAATTATTACGATATCAATAGTATTCTTAGGACCATTCATAATAGACATATGTCATTTAGTATCATTTTTTAGGAATTTATATAGTAAATCACTTCTAAGATTATTTCATATTATTAGATCGCAAATGTCTAATAAATTATACTAATTAGATTATCCAATGTGGATATGTTAATTTTTTTTATTAAAATATTCAATTTCATCATGATAATTATTTTTATTTTTACTATTTTCAACTAAAATATCAGACTCTATTATTTTTATATAGTTCTTCATTCTCAAAATTTTTTGTTTTGGAGCCTAGATATCTAAATTTTTATAATTTCAAAAATATTATAGGATGTTTAACAAAAAAAATTATTACTCTTTTAAGAATCAATATCAATATCAATTTGTTTATTTCTTTCCATTTTTAGATGACTTGAAGGTTGTTTTCTATGCAACATGTTGAAACCTAAAAAATTAGACAAGTATAGACAAAAAAACTAAATTATAATTTATAATTCAAATTATGAGTCTTTAATAAGTAAATGACAATGATATGAAACAATAGTACCAGAAGGTTTATTCACCTTGAACTCAATAATATATTATATTTTATATCTTACTCTCTTCTTTATATTTAATATTGCTAATTTATTTTTCTAAATTTACAAGTAAATTTTTATTGAGAGACAAAAACATCACATATTAATTAATTAACTATTGTTGATTAATTTATTTTTATAATATTTTTTTCTTCATATTATTGCAATTAAAGATAAATTATGTCCTTAATGAATTTTACACGAATGGAATAAGAGGGTTAGCTACCTAACAAATTTTCATAATAAAATACCATTATTGTATATAACTATAGATTTTGTTGTGAAAAAACCTATTTACTAGATATTGGATGGATAGAGCTAAAGAATGTGAACGGTACAAGTTAACAATAAAACGAATTAAATGAATATAAATAAAATAAAAAAGAAAAAAAGGCTCTATTGTATAGAGAGGACCTGATTGTTTTTAAAAAAAATCATAGAAATGATGGAACCCACCATTTTTTTTTTATCTATGTCCTATTTCATTTACTATTATTATGTTTTTTCATACCTAGTATCAATATAATATTCAATATAAAATAAACTTTTTAAATATAATTAATATATTGAAGTTATATGCACATTCTATAGTGATCTATATAAAATACTTTTTTAATGAATGAAATGAGATAAAAAAAAAGGAAATTCAGAGAATTCTAAATGAATAAGAGCATACTATTGATATTGGTATTGGTTGACATCAATATACAAGTTATGTTATACTGTTGAATAACAAGTCCTAAAATTATCGAATTATAGAGAATTTTTGTGCTTAGAAGTCCCTAACAAGAATTTTTGTGCTTAGAAGTCCCTAAATGAACCAAGATTTTACCATGACTGAAATTTTAAAGAGATGTGAGAAAGAAAGCCTATGGGGTCACTTTTGTAATTGGATAACTAGCATCGAAAATTGTCTTGCAACACATTTTGCATATCTTGGATTGAGTGTCTCAGACACAATATATTGCATCTGGATTCAGTGTTCTGAACAAGCATCACAAATTTGAAAAAGGTCTATTGGGATCAGATAATCTAGATGATCACCTTTGATCTAGAAAGAAAGGTGGTCATTTGGATTACCTAATCTGGATATTCTTTTGCAATCTGAATTTCATAATCTGAGCAACCACCTTTCTTTTCAGATCAAAGATGATCATCTAAATTACCTAATCTAAATTGCAAAAGTGTATCTAGATTGGTTAAAATGGATGATCACCTTTGAGTCAAATCTAGGGTGATTGATCTAGATTAATCAATTTGGATCAAGACTTTACAATCCAAATTGATCAATCTAGAACAAACTAATAAAAGCAAAAAAAAAAAAAAAGTGACAAACATACCTAATCGCGAACTAACGATGAAGAGGTAGAGATAGGGTAGAAGAGAAAACACAAATGGGAGACAACAAAAGCAATTCCAAAAAGGGTAGGTGAAAGTGATCAAAAGATGGAAGCAAATGAGATCTAGAAAGGGAGGAAAACAATTGAAGATTGAAGCAAAAAGGACCCACAAAAGGGTGGGGGAAGAAGGGAGAATGAGATCTAGATTGAATAGAAGAAAATGAATGAAAAATGGATGTATGTGTTATACAAAAACAATGGTATTATTGGAAGTTTAAGGTTTGAATGGGTTTATGGAGGAAACTTTAGGTGTAAGGAGCAAATGCCTAAAATAAGTTGAGTTTTAGATCAAGTTATCATACCTAGGCTACAATGGTATTAATGAAAGTTTAAGGTTTGAATGAGCGGATGGAGGAAAACTTTAGGTATAAGGAGCAAATGCCTAAAATAAGTTGAGTTTTAGATCAAGTTATCATACCTAGGCTTGAACCTTGCAAAATCTGACAAGGTAATTGTTTATGCACCTTAGTTTGGTTATTCATACCACTTTCATATATTTTTTTTTATATTTTTCCCTAATAATATCATGTAACAATGAGTAAGTTTATTATTCTAAAATTTAAAATTTGAAATTATAAAAGAAATACTTTTGAATTTCAAAAGTTATTATTGTTGTTGTATTAGTTGTTATTATTAGATTTATATTAATATGTTGTTCCACAAACAAAAAACAAGAGTCAAATATTGGATAAATAAAATATAAGAGTCAAATACTATATAAATAGATAAGGTTAAAATATATTTTTGATTTGTCTAAAGTTTTTAAGTTTGATTTTAGTCCCTCTCATTTTTTTTTTATTTTTTTATTTTGGTCTCTCTAGTAAACATGTCTCATTTTTTGTTTTCAAAGTGCTTTAGATAATGCTTTATAACGTTTTTAAGTACTATCTAAATCATTTTGAGAATAAAAAATGATAATTCAAATTAGATTGATTAAAATATAACAAAATTTTGAAGAGACTACAACCGAATTTAATTTTTTTTAAAAAGACTAAAAACATTTTTCTCTCAAATAAAATACAACATTACAGATATTACATATAAAATACAGTAGTCAAATAGTGCACAAATATTCTTTTTTATCAACCGTAAATAATTTTTATTAAAACAAAAATTGTGTATAAATATAACACAAGTCAACAATTGATTGATCAATTTGGGACCACTAACACTAAGATTGGTGGTGTGGAGTTGGTATAGAACCAGAGTTTGATCTTTGTGCTGTCCTTTCAATTTTGAAAAGCCTTATAGTGTGTTTGATTCGGTGTCAATAACGTGATTTTTCACGTCAAATCGGAAGCAAATAGTTTTAACTTTCACGTTTCGGACAGAATTGACGTGAAAATATGTTATAAAGCGCTGAAACAAACACGCACATAGTTGAATTAGTGAATAAGAGTTGGGTTAGTTAATTAGCTTGTATTTGGTACCATGATGCGTTGAACTCACTTAATTTTTTTCATTCACGTTGAGGCAACTACGGAACCAAACACATGCTTAATCAGTTGGAAAATCAATTAATAATGGTTGCTACCAATTTCCCTTGTATAAATTGATGGACCAACTCGATGTGGGACTAATTTTCATTCACTTCTATAATAATAGAATCAGTCTGTTCTCAGATTCCATGAGAACATTGATTCTACGTTTAACGTAAATAATTCTTGTCTCAGGTCAATGGCAATGTCGTCATATACTTCTACTTTTAACGTAATTAACTCTTAATTCTATATTGTTACAAGTGCAAAGATGTGATGCTGATGTAACAAGGTTCTTCTCCCTTCAACCCAAAAACAACTTGGTCCTTGCTTTTATTGAAAATTCAAGAGAATACGTTAAGACAAGGGTATCCACATCTATGTTATGAGACAAATGAATTAATTATCCTCATCATCATGAGTATGAAACGGTAACTTGTGGCTTAATTCATCAACCTTATCTTTGTGTCAACTTTTACATTATTTTCACATCAATTTATAATATATAAAAGTTGCGCAATAAGTTATTACGCATGTCACTATATTTGCTTGTGTCAATTTTTTTTTTATATTTCTATTTTCGATTATATTATTCCTTTATTCTTTATATAATTACTTCTCTCTCATATGTACTCTATTTGATCTATTTCTCATCTTTTATTATCTAATTTTCATTCCACAACAATCATCAAAATTGAAAGGTATTATTTTTCCTCCACCTCTTTCTCTCTAGATATAAGAACAAATATAAAAGGTGAAAAAAATTAAAGAGTTTGTTACAAGAATCAAGATAATGTACAGTCAATTTCAGGGGGTATATTCACCTCAAAAGAGTCAAATTTGAAACCAAACTCTCCCAATATATATCATATTCTCTTTTGTATTCAAACTATGTGGCTTAAAAAGTCTGAGTTATAATCTTGACTACCAAATCCAAATGCCATTATACGAAACAATCTAATATCTGCAGATTGCTGCGCAGAGTCCCCAACTCTCATTCCATTTGAAAGATCACAAGTAGCTAAACTATCAAAAGCTCTAACAACCTGAAAAAAAGTGATAATTCAAGACAAAACATTATTCTGTTATTTGTATGTTACAAAATCAATAAAACATTCTATAGAAAACTTTTTGTTTCCCTTTCATAATTACCTGTCCCATACGAGGTCTTTTGGCAGATGAATAACGCACGCAAGCAGCAGCAACTTCAATCATGCAAAACATTTCACTTTGAACATAGTTCTTTCCTAGCTTTGGATCTGTTAAACTCTCAAATTCCTCGCTATCTAGTGCATCATTTAGCAAAGGTCGAGCCTGAAAAATAAGGTACCATCTTTAGTAAGAAAGGCTTGCCTGAATGAAATTATGACAAATGTTCATGATTGGTTTGGGTGGAAATGCTGACTTTTCGAAGCTTATAGACTAAAATGTTATATCTAGCTTTTCAACCTTTCGGCCTTTTTCTTAAGAAATTGAATTTAGACTAACTCAACTTAAAAAAATCAACTTGTAAAATAAGGATTACTCTCCAATTATATATAGTATTTGGATATAATAGGCAATATGAGATTTCCAATACTTTTTTATGCATACACATTTTATTAATTCAAGTACACTAGATGATGATCAACCGTAAACCAAATTTTCTTTTTCACAAGTAAACTTCAAATAGAGAAGTTAAATTAAGTTACCTTATCTCTTTCCTCTTCTTTCTTTTTGGTGTATTTGAGATAACACCTTAGTTATATTGTAAAATTACACCGGAAAAGGTTAGGATGAAAAGATATGGACAAGATTATGCAAAGATATGATACAATACTAACTATTCACTCAAACAATTTCATTATACTTTTGTCGAAAGTTGCAATACATAAGTTGTACATGCTGCTGCTCCTGTATTGGGAAACTCAGGAAACTAGCATTTATTTTCTGATCTTTTACTCTTCCAAGACCTGTGAATCAGTTCTCAAAATGGTGTTGCAATACTGTTAGGATCTAATTGCAAGTATGGGACTTGAGTTCCATGTTGAAAGTACGGAATTATAGTGTGAGATTTGCAAGTTCTTGGACTCTTTAATTAGAGTGTCTATTGTTTCCTAACAAATACTAATTAGAAAGTCACAAATCATAAGAACAAGAGGAAAAACATGGATTTATGACTACATGAATGTTTTCTTGAAACCTTTTGGGTGATAAATTCCAAAGTGAATAATATCATATCAATGTGAATGTGTATGAACTCAGTACACAACACATTCAACGATATATCAAAAGTTGATGCACTTTGCAGGCTAGGATGTAACTATGAGTGCAGTGGAACCGGAAGATTCACTTATGCTTTATGTCTACAAGAGACTACAAGAAGAAATTTCTTAATATAGAAACAGCACAAATATAATGTAAATTTTGATCACCATCAACAGTTTAACACACCAACACCTTCCTGAATACAAGATTAGCAAAAGATTACTGCAGTAGCTAAAGAGAGATCGCAACAATTTGGCACTATGCTTACCCATTCAATAAGGCTCTCTTCTCCAACTGGTTGAGATATGTCTACTGGCTTCCTTCCAGTAATGAGCTCCAAAAGCATGACTCCAAAAGAGTATACATCTGATTTCTCAGTCAATTTACCACTTGATACATATTCAGGTGCCACATATCTTGAAGAGGGAAAAAAAGCAATCAATGTTCGTATATTTTCATGTTATGAAATGAGCCATGAATCCGTAATCTATATCCAAGGGGAATGATAGGAAAAAGATAAAATGATAGGCATAACATTACCCACCCAAAAGTTCCCATAACACGCGTGGTTACATGTGTATTTGCATCAGCTAATTTGGCTAGCCCAAAATCTGAGACCTATAAGACCAAAAATATTTAGAATATATCAATGAAACAGATAATATCAAACTTAGAATGCGAAGTGGAAATAGCACATACTCGAGCTTCAAAGTTGTAGTCTAAAAGAATATTTGATGACTTGATATCCCTGTGAATAATCCGTGGATTGCCTATGCAAAACATAACATTCAATAGCAGAAAATAACAATACTTGATCGTAAAGTAAATCACCCAGTTATCAATCCATGTTATCTTCACTAAAATAAAATTCAAATTTTCCATTTTTTGATGCCCCTAACCTCAGTAACTGTCTCCAATCAAATTATTATAAAGAAAAAGAACAATGTCTCTCTAGCTGCCATCACTCATGCACATATATGTATGAAAATTTCACAATCATATTTTTTTACAGAACACTTATTATGCAAACTTCAAGACCTTGCAACAACAACACAATAACAGATATTAAGGATTGATAATTACAATCTTCATGAAGATAAGCTATTCCTCTAGCTGCTCCAGCCGCAATTTTAACACGTTTTTCCCATTCCAGCAGTGGCCTACCTTCCCCTTCAAATCCACTTTCAGTTAGCACAGACTAAATTCAACAAAAATACCATGAAACAGTCTTTCAGCACTATGAACTAGCTTTACCATGAAGATGAAAATAAAGGGTATTATTGGGGACATAGTCATAGACAAGTAATCTTCTGTTATCTGAAATGCAGTATCCCACCAAAGAAACCAAATGACGATGATGTATGCGGCTAATGATTTCAACTTCACCTTTGAATTCTCTCTCACCCTGACCTCCTTCAATTTTCAGTTGCTTAACTGCTACCTCTCTCCCATCTTGAAGTGACCCTTTATACACGCAACCAAATCCGCCCTCTCCCAAAAGATTTTGAGTTGAAAAACTGTTTGTGGCCTTCTTTAGTTCTTCATATGCAAACAATGACCTTGAGTTGCCTAGTCCTGATGATGGTGTATTAACCCCGGATGCTCTTTGTATGAGAGGAGCTGAAGAACGAATCTTGATAAAGGACAACTCTGGACAAAGTTACAAACTTGAATTATTTTGGGTTTCTTCAAATTTTCAATAAGTGTTTTTAAAGATTTTTTTATTAAAAATAACAAGGTATTTTTTAAGAAAAAAAAACTCAGTGTGAAATCGCCAGAAATTGAGTGTTATATAAATTGGCACAACAACATTCATGCGCGGAAAATTGTAAAAGACGAATCCTACTGAATTTCAAAAGCACCAAACTAGCAAATAATAAAAACTAGAACAAATGTAATAAAGAAACAAGAGTTGTCATGCCCCAATTGGTCCTATTATGGCGAGACACATTTGTCCACAATAATACACAATTCTCGAATTGATCCCTACGAACTACAAACTATATTAACATTTAAACGCTAGATACATTAGTATTAGAAATTCTATGCTGTGTGATAAACTTAAAGAGTTTTATTATTATTATTACTATTATTATTTTATTTTATTAATATATCAATAGCTTTCCATTTAATGAAACTATCTTTCTTCCTTGGACTATTCAAACTCATTAAACTAACATAAAAAAAACATACTTCTACTAATATTATAGCTACCTATGAAATTTGTGATTTTTAGAAAATAGTTAGGATAGGTGGAATTTTTGCACAGTTAACTAAATCAAAATTTTTATATTGACTAGTGAGTAAACAGCAATCTTTACTTGATGAATTAGTTTTATAATATTGAATTAAATTCAAATTTAATTTTCTCGAATTACTGTCCCATCTTTCAAATGTTAGACAACTCCATTCATTGAAGAAGCAATAATGCTATGATGCAGATGATTACCTGTTTCAGGTGATGAGCCAAGAGGGGCTGGCGAGCCATAACCACCAATCTTAGAAATCTTTTCCTTTTGCCTCCTCATGCACCAGATAGCAATGCCAATGAAGCCAAGCAGGAGAAGTCCTGTCACTACTCCAACAGCCATTGCACTAGTTCCACCACTGCTTCCAAGGCCAGAATTTTGTGCTGATGGAGGTTGTGGAACCAATCCAGAAGAAGAGTGTGATGGAGTAGAATGAGAATCAAAAGGACTTATCCTAGCTGGAGGAGGAGGAGGAGATGCACTACTACTTGTAGGTGTAGTAGATGTTGGAGAAGGAGAAGAACTCCGAGGAGGTGGTGGGGCTGCTGGAGGAGGAGAAGTTGATGCCCACGATTGTGGTGGCATTATTGGCGACGGTGATGGTGATGACAATGATGGTGGTGCCAACAGAGTCGCCGGAACCAGAGACTGGGATGGCGATGATGTTGGCATAGATGAAGGTGAAGGTGCATCGGAAGAGAGTTGTGGTGATGGTGATAACAATGGTGAAGGTGATGGCGTTGACATGGCAGCAATGAAATATAATAAGGGTATTGTATCGTGGTTGAAGGTCTCGTGTGTCACATTACATTTGCATCATCACAAACCAGGAAATGGAACTTTAGAGACACCATGTCATGCTGTATTACATGTTGGGGTCACATGCTCTAAGTTTAGGCCTTAAGCGATGCCAAAGGGGAAACTTAAGATGAGGAAAGTCGATGCTGTCAGTGTCACCAACCGAAGCCAATGTCCCAACACACCCAACACTGAATAAACCGTCTCATCTAGTTTACAGAATGCACTTTTGTGCAATAAAACCCATGTATATTACAACAAAAATTCCATTTTGGTTAAGCAAAACCCAGATTTCAAAACCTCAAATTTGGATTCGTCAAGGTTAGATTCTAGTAATGATCTTACGCCAAAGTATGTGACACTAACAGAACCTAAAATCATCACCAAAACTTGAAAAGTGAACCCAAAGTGTTCAATTACAAACACTATATTCCTTGAAATTTACGTGAAACTATGGCATTAGTAAAACACGTTGATGAAGCTTCCTCCTTTGTCGTTGTTTGAAGAATTCTTTCTGTACAATAATTCTCACATAATTCGTGCCCGTATTATTTACAACCTTCCATCTTTTTAAAATCTTTCTTTATACTTTTGTTTCTTGAAATTCATCACCATCCTATCGGGTGTTAAGTAACTCTCAGAAAATAAGTTTCCTCGTACATGCCATTCAGGTGAACAATAATGGAACCCAAGTTAACCTTTTTTGCAACTTGATTACCGCATACGTACTTAGCCACATATATATGATAATTAATATTTTGTTAAATTAATCTACCGGTACCTATAATTCTATCAAAATTTTACTAATTAGTTGCATGCAGTTAAAAACACTTCAAAAAATATCTTTATAGTTTAAAAATTTTATAATTAAAATTTTCACCCACTAACCACGTGTATGATAGTCAATATTTGATAGTTAAATCATTCACCACCTAACCACATATCTGATAGTTAATATTTGGTTAAATTAATCTATTGGTCCTATAGTTTTATCAAAATTTTAATTGGGTCTCTAGTTAAAAAAAAATCTTGTAGTTTAAAAATCTTGAAATTGAATTCTTCATCTTCAACTCCATTAAAATTCTGTTAGTTTATCAATAATTAGTAAATGTACATATATATTTTATTCAATTAGGTAATTATTAATATATTTTATGTTTATGCCTATTGTTTTTTTACCACAAAATACTTAATCAAGAGGTAATTTCAATTTTAGGATTTAATTGTTTATATTATATTCAGTATTTTTAGTGTTATTCTTTATTGAGATATAACACATGAAAAAATAATTTGCAAGTTACAAATCTCAAAGGGGAACTATAACTCCAAGTTACATAGAAGATCGTTCATGAGCTAATAAAATTCACTAAGAATGACCAAAAGCATCACTTGAAGCAAGAAAATTTAGAGAGCACCCTTAAAGGATCATACCAACTAGTTGAAAGCAAGCTACTTAGGCACTCTAAGTAGGTAAAATTCGCTAAAAACTATCACAAAAGCGCTTTGAGTGAGCTTGAACAGAGAGCATCATTGGAGCATGCATAAGCTCGCTCAAAGTGAGCCACATGGGCCCTTGGAGCGAGTATATTTTATCTAAAAGCCCATTAGAAAATATTATAAAAATAGTGTCTCTAGGAGGTTTTTGAGGATGTAGAATCCATTATTTTACTTTCTAAGCACAATTTAGAGAGATTAGAGAGAATTCCTGTAAGAGTGTCATTATAATCATGCATCAATCAAAGATTCCTCTTTTCTTATGTAATCTTTAATCATGAGTGACTAAGTTCTCTACTGTTGAAAATTAATGTAGTTATTGTACTCATATAATCTTTCCTGTTCTCATTCAATATATTGTTTTTATCCATTTATCGCTTTTATTTTGTACTTAATGTGTATTTTGGCCAATGCATGATTTTATAATTTTAACTGAGGTTAGAAAATCCTTTTAAAATTATGATCTAGGTAAAATGTTGATAGCATTCACTATTAAGAAATTAGAATAGATCTTATCGGTCAACTTTTGGTTTTTGACCTTAATACATCATTATTTAACAAAAATTACCAAGGAATTGAAATTTCTCTTAAATAACTTAGAATTTATCGCCTATGGAATTTGGATTTAAATATAATTGTGAACTGTTGAATTAATTGTATAATTACAACATTGAATAAAAATTGGAAAGGATTTACATGGAAAAAGTTAGTGAAATCAATCTCTGACTACTCATATTATTATTTAAATTCAAATTCTTAATTGCTTTATTACATACTTTTCTATAAATTTTTGTATTGTAATTTACAAAAATTTAAATTTCTTTTATACATCTATTTAGTACCAAAATTATATTAGACAATTATAAACTTAAGTCCTCGTGGATTCAATAACTTGGACTTTTGTTCTCTTTACTACCTACAACAATTGGTATATGTGTCAAATGCTTATCATTTATGCTGAGTAGTCAATTACCTTTAAATATTGGTATGTTTTAAATGCATGTAATTGAATCTCTAATTTTAATATGCTAATTACAATGAAACTTTAGAATTTTTTTCATATTTAGATTTAAAATATATTTCAGTTTTTAAACTTTTTTTTGATATTTTTAAATTTAAATATATTCATAAAAACTGTACCTGTCTGATGGGCACACTAAGTCTTCTAATAGTCCAAAGGCCGAACGAGAATTTTCTTATGTAATCTTTAATCATGAGTGACTAAGTTCTCTACTGTTGAAAATTAATGTAGTTATTGTACTCATATAATCTTTCCTGTTCTCATTCAATATATTGTTTTTATCCATTTATCGCTTTTATTTTGTACTTAATGTGTATTTTGGCCAATGCATGATTTTATAATTTTAACTGAGGTTAGAAAATCCTTTTAAAATTATGATCTAGGTAAAATGTTGATAGCATTCACTATTAAGAAATTAGAATAGATCTTATCGGTCAACTTTTGGTTTTTGACCTTAATACATCATTATTTAACAAAAATTACCAAGGAATTGAAATTTCTCTTAAATAACTTAGAATTTATCGCCTATGGAATTTGGATTTAAATATAATTGTGAACTGTTGAATTAATTGTATAATTACAACATTGAATAAAAATTGGAAAGGATTTACATGGAAAAAGTTAGTGAAATCAATCTCTGACTACTCATATTATTATTTAAATTCAAATTCTTAATTGCTTTATTACATACTTTTCTATAAATTTTTGTATTGTAATTTACAAAAATTTAAATTTCTTTTATACATCTATTTAGTACCAAAATTATATTAGACAATTATAAACTTAAGTCCTCGTGGATTCAATAACTTGGACTTTTGTTCTCTTTACTACCTACAACAATTGGTATATGTGTCAAATGCTTATCATTTATGCTGAGTAGTCAATTACCTTTAAATATTGGTATGTTTTAAATGCATGTAATTGAATCTCTAATTTTAATATGCTAATTACAATGAAACTTTAGAATTTTTTTCATATTTAGATTTAAAATATATTTCAGTTTTTAAACTTTTTTTTGATATTTTTAAATTTAAATATATTCATAAAAACTGTACCTGTCTGATGGGCACACTAAGTCTTCTAATAGTCCAAAGGCCGAACGAGAACTCCGATCCAATACGCTGGTGAGGGGGTTGGTACCTGCAAAAGGCACTCCAATGCTCAAGTCAGGACAAGCACGAATATCTAGGGTAATTAATGAACAGTGACGTTACCTTTTGTCCTGAGCTATTTATACTGACATTTATGGGCCCTGGACCCCATGGGCCCTGCAACATATTTACCGTATTAGGTAATACACCTTAATCGACTAATTAACCCCTAATCTTTGATTAAGAGTACCAAATGATGGTAGGCCGATCCTGGTGGCCGATTGGCATTCGGCTTCCTGGTTCTACCATTCGGCTGCCGATAGGGTGGTAGCCGAACCCCCTACCTGTACAAAAACAAAAAATTTAATGAACATTTTCATTCTATCCTCCTAATATAGATAGTTTTTTCCATTAAAGGTAAAAAATATTGTAAGAGAAGCTCCTTCGGAAAGGTATTAACTTTCAATGTCTCATCTTAAAATCATTTCCTTTAGCATTGTTAAATGTTAAACTTTGTCGAAGACCGAGTTCTAATATCAAATTTTAAAAGAAAAAAAAAAGGAAAGACACTAAAAGGAGGGGAGGTGGAATAGTATCTATAAAGAACAACACTTTTCAAAATAGTGAAGTAGCAACGTAAGACCAAAAAAGTGCAAACGAAGTAAAGTAAAGAACATAATGTGTATTTATATTGATTTGTTTCAATCACTAAGACTAAGTCCAATTCTTGATCAAGTTTTACTACGTTTCACAAAGATACAAGTATTATTTCATAAGCCATCTATGGGTCAATCTAAGTGTTCTTTGATTTGCCTCTTCAAGACATACCTAAGTATTCTTTGAACAACAAAGCGTCTTCAGACTTTAACACCAAGTATTTTTTTAAACAGCAAAACATGTCTAGACCGACTTTAAGCTAAATCACATAGTTTAAGTTGGATAAGCCAACAAGGAATTATCTTACAAAACAAGACATGATAAACTTTTAAGTACAAAGAATGATTAAAGAATATGTTTGTGGAATTTCTTTTACAATTATGTATATTTGCTTTCTTATTTTTGATATTTTCAAGCTTTTTTATATGGATGAATTTTGAAGATGACTGTTGCAAATCCTTAAGTTACACTCATCAACTTGTTTTGTCTTATTTTTCCTTGCTTCCTTGTAGAGCTAGGTGTCCGTTGGTGTAATAAATGCTTGCAGTAAATGTGTTTCACTATATGATCACTTCTTATAAGATCAAGGAGGATAATTATCACCTTTAGAATACAAAAAGGAAATGAATTGTTGTGTGTTAGTCGAGAATGATTTTTAGTTGACTTTGCCTACTTTGAGATATCTACTAGTCCTTTTCTTACGATAAAAAGATCCTCATTCCTTTATGTGTTGTGAGTTCCAAAGAAATTTTTATTCCTTCAATTTATTAAGAAATAACATAAGAGCAGATGATAGAAATATCAGACATATTAAATGTGATATTTAAAACATTTATCTTAGTTAGACAAAGTGTTGAGTCTGAGGGCTATCATGCCATTCAACGTTCAGTATTGTCTTTTCCTATGATTTATTCTATTGTCTTTGACATTTGATTTTTTTATGCCTTTCCAAAAACATTCATGTTTATTAACATTAAAACATAAATTTTGAGGGGTTAACATCCTTTAATATAACATTCTATCCCTTTTCATAATGACAAACACGTTTTTAAAAGACAAAGATTTCGAGCATATAAGACATAGTCATGCTCAATTATAGACAATATATATCCTTACATACAAAAATATATATAATTATG